AAAGTACATATAAAGTAATCATCATATTCGTTTACGCATAAGTACAGAGGTAATATTTGTCATATATAAAGATTAAAATATCTTCAGATTTATAATGTTAGTAAAATTGTGTACCAATCCCAAAATTTTTATATACTTATTATAAAGGATAGAAGGCCGTCTTCTTATGATCGTCGAATTTCAGTAACTTTAGTACCTATGTAATTTTGGGTAATCTGAACCCCTATACCAAATTTCAACGCTCCAAGATTTTCAGAAGCGGAAGTCATTTTCATACATTAAATATGTATATTGCTCTTTAAATAAACTTAGATATTCGCTACGGTAAATAAACAAAGACATTACGTGGGTATGTGGTGACATTACGAGAAAGCCACAATATAACAAGGGGGCCACTAATGCAATATATATCGCATTAGTATTATTATAGTCCCAAATTAAGCGAAACTTGTAATAACGGTACTAGACAACTGATAGATATAGTATATTCGTCTTTTGTAAAGTCTTACTAATATTTTAAATGTAACACATAAAATTGACTCTGACCAATATAAACAGACATACCTACTAAAAATATTTGTATTGTGCGTGTATAGAACCCATGATTGTCGGAAGGTGGTGCGGTGTTGCGGCTGTTGGTGAAACTGCTATACCACCAAGGTCAGCAATCATTTCGGCCATTAACTGTCCACTGCTGAATACAGCCTTCCCCATAAAAGTGAGTTTTGCCAGTAGTTGCCACGCTTGGCAGGTGAGATAGCATTCACAGTTAGGCTTTTAGAGATGTTTTACGAGGAACGCTTTTGTCCACCCCTCTACCATTGAGTTTCTTTACTCGCCTCTTATGACATCCACAGGAAAGAAAGAGGTGCCCTATTTTATACCGGGACTATACGGCCATAAATGTACCATAATATGTATAATATAATACTAATGTATAGAGACTTATATTAATTTTTTAATTCTATCGGAAATAAAAAATACGCTATTCGCTGGTAAGAGTATCACTTGAGAATGGATAGATTGAGTTGGTTATTTTGTAATAATATAAGTTAAATGTTTGTAATAGCATAGTATAACTAATAACTCCGTACTATGAACAGCAATCTGATTGAGATTTAGTGTAAAAATATTTTTAACAGTTCAACATTCATCGAGTCAGCAAAAAATACATAATATTATATATTGGATAATATAGGTACAGTTTTTTAAAATGGTATCGAAAAATAATTTAACATTTTAATAAATGTCATATGTGGGCCATTAAGAAAATTTTCTTTTCTCATAAAATGCTTGTATATTAAATTCTTGCTTACAATGTATGGAAACTAATGTAAAACTGTTTAGAATTTGAATTGCATTCAAATGATGAAGAACAGTAATATACAGCATTTTTTAGAAGCATCTAGAAATTAATTAAGTTTTAATTTAAAACCAGAAAACTACAATATAATGAGTTACGTATTACGTATACGTTAATAGTATTGATATATAATTAAAATATGTGTATAATTAAAAAAAGTGCAAGTTTTTCATAAACTTTTATATAATATTACTAAATGAGTACACTTATTGATTGAACCTCACTAACCAGTTTTATCAATAATATAAAGAAAACTACAAAAACCCATAACATGATTTCTGGCCACTCGAAATGTTATTGACAATTGTGAAGTGTCTCATTTATTATTATTTGTTATATGTATGTTATATTCAAATATCTACTGAACTGTAAAGAGTCAATTACATGGGAAATTGGTAAAATCAAAGGTATATATTGTAGATATTTCTACCTAGATATTCAGCTATTTTAGCACTTAATCAGATATAGATACCTACCAAATATTTGCACAGGTAATGGAAATCACGTGTGCGTATTTAAATTTTTAAATATGGTAATGAACTCTACAGGTTTCACTATTAGGATTTCCTGGAATCTTATTTTTATGGCAATGAAATCTGCCTCTAGGTGCTAAACGAAATAAAAAGTAATTTGAAATTCACATGAATATGTAATACCGCGATTCATAACTGAAAAAAGTTCAAGTAATAAAATCGAAAGACGTTTATTTTAAGAAGTCACCCACACTTATAGAAAGGGGGAAAATAAGTAGGTCAATTTTAGAACCGTTCTGATGAGTGCATTACTGTTTGTCAATGGAACTGATATACCCTATATATTAAGAAGTAGTAATCGATGCAGGAGTTGGTATTTTAATTTTATTATTAGTTATATCAATTAGTCGTTTCTTAGTCTTTCATGCTATGTCATTTATAGATTTCATTCTATGAAAATATGACTTATTTTTTGGATGCATGATAGAGACATCCATTTATTGGATGAATATTGTATTGACAACTGTATTCAACTGTCAGTTCAATATTCACAAATATATAAGTAGTTCATCTGAGATTCACACATTCCTTTCATTTTCTTCACTTATTTTCTTTTGGACGCTTAGTGGAAAGCAAATAATGTTTCGATTACATTTGGGTGTACTCGATTTATTTGTGTACATAAAATAAGCATAAGTTGAAAAGAAAAAAATATTCAGTTACTTTTTTAAGTTTTTTTTTTCAATTATTGCGTGAATACTAACTATATCCAGCAATTTTTCCATGTGAATTAGAATAAAATTTAGGGAATATACATACTATTCCATCAAAAACATAAATGTGAAATGAGAGTCAAGTTCAATATTATGATATATGCCTTGGTTGTTGACTTCAACGACAAAAGAAGTGAGATCTAAATGGGTGTCAAGTTCAACAGTCAGTCCTGAAATTTATTTATAACAACATAATCATTATCATAAATCATTTCTTCTTATAATTTAGGATAATATATTATAGCCTAAAGTCTGACTTGGCTAGTTCTCACATACGAATTATTATGTTCGATGGCTAGTTACTTAGCAAGCCAAATTTTCGGAACAATATAATAAAAAAGAACCGACAAGTAACAGGTTTAGAACTTGCAAAGACTATAATATAATTCGGTCAGCGATAAAAATGACGATTTTAGGACGTTAATATCTAAATAAACATTTGAAATGTGTTTATAAAATTTGGAGCATATGTGTATCTTGCAAATCTCAATATATGAGCCAAATTTGACATGTTTATATGAAATAGTTTTTGAGTTATGAGGGGGTCAAAAGTGGCTCTAAATGGTTCGTGTAATATGTATTACACACGGTGCTGCTCGCTAGCTTGACTTGGCTTGACACGCTACCGCGTGGTTAGATATATTTATGTATCGAAATATATTCAAATCGGTTTTGCTATTTTGAGATTTAGTGCATAACAAATAGTAGAATATTACTAGTATTTTTATTTAATTTACTCCTTGTCTTGATAATTTATTTAATCCCTGTATAGAATGAGCCACTCTTTTTTCCTGTGGGTGTCGTAAGAAGCGACTAAAGGAACTTAATGTTCGAAGGATAGGCAGCAGCGTCCCTCTTACAACATTACTAAAAGCCTAACTGCAATCGACAATTCGCCTGCCAAGGGTGGCAAGTACTGTCAAAACTCGCCTTATGAAGGAGACCTATGTTTAGCAGTCAATAGTTAATGGCTGTTGTGATGGAACTTGGAGTATCTAATTACTATTTTAAAAATATCTAAATATCTATTAAATCTAACCATGATGATGTATTACTGAATTAATTAACTTAGGAGAGTAGTAAATAGTTTACGTTTGGTTTAAGCGAAATGCAATAAGTCACCGACGATTTGTCACAGTTCAGATTGTTTTGAAGATTGCACGGCTATCACGGCACAGGACAAGTTTAATTAATTCAAAATGCCACTCACCACTACTATTAGCTGTAACCACACCTAGGTTTTATGATTCACGTATCTAACGCTAGAGGTGACTACGTAAGTATACTTAAATTAATTTGTTTTCTTGTTTACTGTACGATACTATGCCATTTTGATATTTATTTATATGTATTAAAGCCACTTAAGTATCAACATTAAATTTAAAACTGAAACTTCTCTATTATTAATCTTGAAGAAAACAATGGAGAATTCTCTATTTTATGAAATAGGTAATCATATAAATATGTTTTTACATGTTTACATCTGTCTCTCTTTTTCTATAAATATAAAATATGCTATATTTTATATAATGTAATAAAGTTGTAATGAGACAATGTATTTACTAAGGTCTTTATATAATAAAAAAATGTATGAGGGGTCAATCAAGCTAAAAAACAATATTTTTAAATAAACTCAATCTGTATGTTTATTCCTGTATCATTTAAAAACTAAACAATAAATTGAATGCAGTTTTCACAGTATTTGTGAAGGGCGAAAGTCTTAAAATATGGTGTATATTTATTTTAGAATTTGTACGGAAATAATTATAATTCCGATTGTAGTGGAAAACATTTTAAGAGTTTAAATTGATTTCAATTTGAACTACAGAGAATAAAATGTTATTATGTCTCTCTGGTCTCTTGAGAAAGTAAGTAGGTTATGTTATATAGAATATAGGTTTATATACGTATATGGGGAAATTTAGAATATACAGTTAAAAAAAAAAACTTAATTTACATGAAGCCTGTACATTAATGTGAAACAGAATAATTGTGGCAGTTGAGCTATTGAATGCCAGAGATAGCAAATAGCGTTAATATACGACAACTCGTATATTATTTTTAGGGAACTATTAAATATTGTCTGTGATGAAAGTAATTTTACACATATCTTCAAAAAAATTACACTCAAAAGGACGGTAGTAATAATAATTATTATTCTCATGAGTGACACATATACAGAAGATCATTATTGGAATACAAGGAAATTTGCTATTACTTGATTTGTAAATACCTAGTTCCAAAAATATATGTTTAGTCAAAGAATATTTTAGCAAATATTTTATATACCTAGAATATTTCATTTTATTTTTTATATTATGATTTTGTTCTATTAAGGTACTGTTTTAAAGTTAGACCAATGAAAACCAAAACAAATAAAACAAAGTCAAATTAAGAAGATTCATAGTCTTTTATTAATTATCAATATAATTATCTATTAAAAATAAATTAAATATGCATCTTAAATCACAAAACATTAAAACTTACATGTATATATTAATCGTCTTAATAAATTGTTGTTCTGATAATATCAATATAACATTTAAATATTCTAAACCTCTCCCTCCTTAAAGTTAATTAAATTTAATATCTAAATTTCGAGTATCTCAAATTTACATTACTAAACGTAATACCAAGTTTATAAAAGTTCGAATAGTTTTCAAGAAATCGATCTAAGGAACAAAGATTGAGTTTTACCTTGCAGAATAAACCCTGCTTCATGACCACTAGGTGAAGGGTTTAACAAACATATGTAATAATACTGTTGGACTAATAAGTACATACATTTAAATGTAGTTGTTGGGAAGAGAAGCGTTTTTTAAACTGGCAACATTCATAATTATTAACACCTATAAATCTTGATATAAACAGTGGCAGCAATATTTTGTCTAGGTCCCTAAATTAATTCATGGGTCGAAAACTGTCTTGCGATCTCTTGGAGCCGATGGGGAAATGGGATAGGTCAATCTCGTCCATGGGGAAGTCCAGTCTGTATCGCTTCTTGTCGAAACTTGAACTGCAAATTTCATAAAAAAAATATTACTATGATGGAGAATTTAATAAATACTGGTATTATTACACAAAAAACACTAATTATAGTCTAAGAAAGTTGTGATACTATTATGAGAAACCCTATTCCTAATATGTTAAAGCATTTTAATATAAGTCATTGCGAGTGCATTTTATATATAAGGAAATAAAACATAGGAATGCAATTGTTTCTTTATAATCGAAAGAAAATTTTAAACAAGATGTTTTATATTTACTTTCGATGACAAAGTCATGCCATGCACGTTTGTGATATTAGATTATTAAAAGAGGCTCTATAGAATTACATAGGTAGACTGCTTGCTAATTGTATTAAATTAAACGGTTTGCTTGCTAAAATTAGACAGTAACAAGTAAATCGTGTGTAATTTGCTAAGATTAATCGTGAACAACAAAGAAAGACGGAGACGTGTCGTATTAAAATGTATAGCCTTGCCGTAAATCGTTGTAAATTGCAAGAGTTTCATATACAAGAGTTCTAAAGTAATGATTGAATAAAATGGATAAAAAAGTACGCTGAGTTTTGTTTCTCATCCACGCAGGTCATATGGGACATGAAAAACGGATATCTTACACTGGTGAATCAATGTCAAGGTAGTTGGGTCCGAAGCGGTAGAAACGCTTGGTAGCATACGGGAACGGCATTGAAGTCTGGTCGATTTCATCGAAGTTCCTTTTCTTCACGAAGTTGTCGAGCCCGGACCTGATAATACAATGTTTTTATTTGTATCTAATAATTAAGGTTAAAATCTATAATTAATTAGAAAATAATAAAATATTAAGTAACGGAATTTAATATGTATAAATATATGTAGAACTATAATTGGTAATTGTGATAAGAAATTTGAGTATATTTTTATAACAATATATGTAAAAAATAAATTTATTCTGTAAGTTTTTACCATTTTTAAAATAAAGAATTGTGTTAACAAGATAAATTTACAGTTTCTCATTACTGTTTATATTTCAAATATATTACTTGTACCTTTAAAATTAGAAGTTCTAACTTTGAAGTCAGCAACCAATTCTCATAAATTGAAAATACCAAAAGTTCTTTACAAACACCAAGTCCCCGAAGTCATCATCAAAAAGAGCGAGTTTACTTTATAAAAGCAGCTAACAAAAGAAACATTTCAACTAATTCAATTAGCTTACCGATCCACAAGTGAGTAGACATACATATTTAATATAGCAATGTACCTGTCTATGTAAACAGAAATATGATCGTTAAAAGTTTATTTTTTCCCAACAAGTTTATTACAAACAGGCATGATTAGATTTTTGTTTGAAGAGGAAAGACATTAGTACCTACCATATTTGCTAATATTTTTGAGTATGTAGGTATTATACACACGTATGATAAAAAAATATAATAATGAATCATTCCAGATTATTTAAGAATAAATTTCAGTTGGCAACTAAAAAACTACACGCGCTTCATATAAAAGTTCTGAAAGTAAAAAGTTTGTAAAGGACGAAGGACTCAGGGGGGAAAATGGTGTAAAGTTTTCTAGGTCGTGTAGTTGGAGACTTGATTTAATATGATAATAATTTTGGTTTTGATTAAATTTTACTTTTTAGAATGAAATTTAATAATACCAAAATTTGGTTGTGGTTTTCAGTGCGTATTATTACTGAGCTTTTCATTATTGAGCGTATTTTTTACTACACTTACCTGTCTATCTCATCGAAATTGCGCTTGGGAAGGCCATCAGCGTAATATCCACCATACTGGACGGGTGATAGAGGCCAATATTCACGTTTGCCGTTGCCGCCGTAAGGGCTAGATACAAATTAGTACTTTTTCATATTCGTTTTATTATGCTTTACTATATTATCAGCAATTATTAATTTTTAACCGACTTCATAAAGGCGGGTGTAGATATAATTTTCACCAACTGTAAACCGATTTTGATAACTGTCACTGACTATCTTTTTATACGAAACATGGTTTTAAAATTTATATTGTAAAAAGAGAACAATAAATGAACAAGAAAACAGTAAATGCATTGACCCCACTTAAAAGTCAGTTTTTTTCGTGAAACATAATATTATTTTTTATTAATAAATCGTAAACTTGTTTGCATAAAAAATATTATTAATAGGAATTATAAGTTAATTATATTTCTGAATAGGAAACCGTTGATTAAAAAAATATATATGTATATACCTCGCATATTCATAACGTCTGGATAAAAGATAGGGTATGAAGTGGCGGGCATCGCGTATCTCTCGTACCTCTCGCACCAAATTGCCGCTGCCCAGAGGATCTAGGTTTCGAGACTTGTGACCTATTTATATAATTCAATCATCTGTTAAATCAATCGCAATTAATGATAATAATAGTATATACCAATCAATACCTATTAACACATTTAATACAGTTAGTTAGTCTTACCTCTGACTAGTGTAGGAACTCTTGGAAAGGGCAAGAAGAATACATTTTATTGTTGCAATGTATGGGTATTTATTCGAAATATTTATCAACACCAATAATAACGACAATTTAAACACAACTATTTGTAGGTATCACATTTTATACGTTGTACGTTTTGTGGAAATATTAACAAATGTAATAGAATAGATGGAAAGTATTTTATTAAACGAGGTTTGCTCCTCCAATTGAGTCCAATTCACGAACGAAATTTCCACCGCCAAGAGAGTCTAAGTTGCGTACGAAGTTCGCACCACCCAAGGAGTCTAGAGTCTTCTTAACGAGGTTAGGACCTCCGAGCTGGTCAAGGTTTTTCTTCACTAAATTGGCACCACCAATAGAATCTAGGTTTCTCACAAAATTCGCTCCCCCAAGTGAATCAAGGAATCTGGCATATTGCCTTTTATTTCCATCAATACTTCTCCCCAGAAGAGTCGAGCCGCCAACTCCGTTAAGATTTCTGTTATACCCGTACGCGCTTTCTAAACTTCTTCCAGATGGTATTCCAGATCCGCCAATACCATGAAGATTTCGCACTTCATATCCGTAAGTACTTTCCAGATTTCTTCCTGGAATTCCCGATCCACCAATACCGTGAAGGTTACGACCCAGAAGAGATGAACCTCCTAGACCTAAGTTTCTCCCCTCGGACGAATACCCTTCAGATCCACCTAGGTTGCGACCTAGAATACTGCTACCTCCAAGACCATCCAGATTTCTACCCAGCAAAGTATTACCACCGATTCCATTAATGTTACGATTGTCCACAGCGTTATCATATAAGTAGAGGAATCGTAGGAAATCTTCGAGTTCTTGTTTTTGATGAATTCCTGTAACAAATCCAGTCAATATATATTAATGTAACAGAATATTTGTCGTGCACAATATGAAATCATAAAAATTGATCGATACTCACCACAATGCAGAGTAAAAACAGATGCACAGTGCTGGAAAAGCTTGTGATTTATCGATGTGCAAAGGTATGTTCTGGATAGTGCGAAGATCCATCACCATTAACAGTTAAGTGAATATAAAATTGTAAAAAGTGCACAGACGTACTAAACGTAGGTAATATAAGTGAATAATAGGTACTGTACGTGAACTGGTGGTTACAGATACCAAAGTGCACTAAGAGGACTAAGAGGAACGTTCGGTAAATAAAGACTGTGGTAAGGTGTTATATAGGGTGATAGTGATAAACTTCGTATTAGGGTTTGCCTTTGAGTGTACATGTGCTAGGGATTGTTCCTATGAATCGTACACATCTAAAATATTTATAATGTCGATATAGGTAGCAACAAGTTTAATTATATATAGGTACCTGTATATGTTAAGTGTGTATACTTATTTTATAAAAATAAAAAATGTATTTATATTACTATCTATTAATTCAAATTAATTTGAGTGAACTATTAAGCACAGAGCAATAAACTCGATTTTTGTTAGATTGTCTTCGGTGTGGACGATTCATTTAGTGCGAAAAAGTGTTATGAAAATTTTCAAACAATATGTTTAAGTTCAGATAGTCAAAACCATTGTAGGAAATCTTACCGGCATCGTAGCGGTCTGCGGAGTTGTGTTCGCTACCACTCACTTCCGATTCCTGCCAAATATTTAATATTTGTTTAACATCTTTATATCTACGTTATAATTTTTATACTACTTGTACAAGTTCTAAACCCAATTTCAGAATGCTTTCACTAAGTGCTAACTGCTCGTATCTCCATATAGGTTTAATAGGTGTATCTATTAATTATATAATAACAGCTACCTAACCAATATCACAGATAATATAAAAACAATAATTTGTTACATTATTTTATTGATGACAGAGTTTTGTTTGAATTGTGTTGGTTATCTGTTTTGCCTATTTCCTTTCATCATCATCATCATCATATCAGACGTTAACTGTCTACTGCTGAACATAGGCCTCCCTTTTGAGGGGTTTTGCCAGTAGTCGCCTCTTACAACACCCCCGGGAAAGGAAGGGGTGGACTATTCTATGCCGGGAGCATACAGCTGTTTCATTTATAAAGCAGTAATTGGTGCATTCACGTTTCAGTCTGAAGGTAACTAATCTACATAATAGTGCTAGTGCAATTAACATCTGACAAAGAGGCATTGTAATTCAGTACATAGAAATTTGAGTGGAGGAGGCACAATGTGTTTTTGTTATATCCATGGTGTTGTTTCCATTTATACATATATTATAATTAATTTACATCAGGGGGAGTTCTTAGCTTGTGTGATTAGTAGCTTTAACACATACATTTACTAGTATGACTGTAATTTCTCTTTCCTCAAGAATTACGTTTCCTGCGAGGGATTGTGTTACCAAAAATATGGTACTTGATGCTTTTAGTTGAAATATGCACTAGAGTAACGGTCTACGAACATAATACCTTTTTATATTAAGATTAATTTACCACACTAAATTAACTTATATATTAACAATTCTAATATAATTTTATATTTCTAGATACAGTGAATTGGATTATATAACGTTAAGAGTATATGCTGGTAACTCCAATTCCAGAAACATGAAATGTAATTTACTTGTATTTAAGAGTGAAATATAAAGAAATAATCAATTACTTTTTAATTGTTTTTGGATTTAGAAAACTAATAAAAGAAAAGTAATGATATTAGCAACTTGATATAATCTTCAAATCTTCGATAAACACTTAGTATAATGTTTCAATATTTCCATCTAAGGGATTATTACAGTCAACGCGGCTATCTTGGTGTTCGACATCGACTAAGTTGTGATTGCTTTAAACTTTGATCGTTTGAAACTTTTTTTTTACAAAAGGTATGAGTATTGCCGCAGAGAGAAATGTTTTTACTATTGGAATTGGTTAAGAAATTGATAGCCCATCTCTCTGAATATTGTATCTGTCCTTAGTTATGAACCAACTTGTTTGTATTACAAATTATTTTATGTCGCTTAAGCGCTATTACTAGACTTATATACCACATGGTAAGACGCCAAAATATAGCTATAGATTTGATGAAAAAGTTATCAATGTAAAGTATTTTGCGATTGAATATATATAGAATTTTACATTATGAATACTGTATACATAAGTGGGCAATTTTTTTAAGTTTAAATTGATCTAAGTTAATTCTTTAAGTAAATTTTAGAAATGTAACAAACATGCAAATTAACTGCTTATTTTAACATTTAACAAGAAGATTTCATTGTAAAAATTTTAAGACGATAACTTTATTTACGATTCTGAGATGTTATATTTGAGGTGAATGTAACGTTTTTATTTCTATATTACCTCTATGTACAGTTGGTAAGCAAAAGCTTATAAAGAGAATTTTCTAATTGTCTTTTATTAATGCAAGCGATTTTGTTCATAAAGTCACGATGATTATATAGTGTTTGATTGCAAGCTTATGTTATTAACACAGTCTCACTAGAACCACGCTATCTGAATGGCTCTTAAGGACTGAAACGGTCAATTAATATTCAGAGACTACCATTAATTTGTTTAAATAAAGAATAGAGCATAAATGAACTAAAGAACTAATTAAGATGGTATCTGATTGTAATTTATACTTACATTTAGTAAGTGCAAGACTTTAATAACGGATTATTTATTAGTATTATTATTTAACATTACAAAGAATGTAAAAATATTGTAGTAAAAAAATATTTCGAAACATATCAGATAACATAGGGGAAAAATGGAAAAGAATAAGTTAATTTACCGTAAGCTATTATATTATATTATGCATAGTACTATATGATTCAAATATGCCAACTATGCTGTAAGTTAAGCATGACATTCTATCTGAGTATATTGTTAGTTCGTGTCTCTATTTTACTATCAATTTTAATTTTTAGCGTTTATTTAATAAATAAATTGTAGTAATATATATTGTATACAAGACTAGACGAATTATATACCCTTAACTACTATATTTCACAATACTAAAATAGTATTTAGTACTAAATTTAAATATTCTGTAATTATAATAAAAAAATATGTTTAGTTTTTAAGTTAGTTTAAACTGACTTTAGCAATACTCGTAGATATAACAATGAAATACGCAAACGTTCAAATAAGTATAAATATTTAATTTCGAATTGTTCCGAAAAATAAAATCAACCAGCCAAAGATGAAAAGCAAATATAGCTCGTAACCTCAAAGGGATTAAGGGGTTAATTTATATTGTGGCGGTATAATAAAAATGAAATAAATATATATTCGTGATATTATGTACATACAATTATATAACTTAGGTATATCTATATGGATAATTAAAATAACGATTAATTATCCTCACGCCGAATCTCTTAGGGAGTAAGCAATGAAAACCGGATACAAAAAAAACCTCTATCTTAACATACATGATACATATCTAGAGGGAGACTTTGTACAAAAGTCGATTGCTTGGGTACCTCTGCCCCATTCGTGTTTCTACCGTGAAGCAGTTGTGTTTGCATGGCTGTGTTTCGGTTTGAAGGGTGGGATGTGGCGTGAATTTACTGGGTACAGAGGAATAACACCTGACTCTTCAAGAATGGCAACGCATGGAGGGTATCATGGGCGAAACAGTATACTCTGTTATGTCCATGGTACTGCTCATGTCTATAGGCGACGGTTATCACTTTCCATCACGTGGGCCGTTAGCTTGTTTGCCATTCTAAGTTGTATAAAAAAAAACCATCTTTTGCATCATATACTTTCATAAGTTATCTCACGTATACGCTACTAAAGAATATACTGTGATAATCATACTCGTAGTACCCCTCCCTCACATATGCCATTTTTCCAATTTAAAGGTCACCAAATGCAAGCATGAGACACACCAATAAGACAGAAGACTTTTGATCAAAGTATTCTCCTGGTATACATTTACTTGTAACAATTTTTCATATATAATATAAGGAACCTTCTTACCTGATGAGGATCAGCACTACAACAGACAAGCAGCGCGGCTACGGCCACGGCCAGCGCTCCGCCGGCTCCACGCATCGTTGTTCTGATGACCTGTTTGTAATACATATGTATATGACAAATTATTTATAAACTTTTAAAATTATTCATTAATATGTATAATATTTTTTTTTTCTGAAATTAAAGTAGTTTGGCAAAAGTCTATGGAAAATTGTGGCCTTTTTAAACTTAATAAATTAAATAAATAAATTCGCTATAGATAATCATTAGGATTGTGCCATGTTGGTTTCAAGCTCAATACAACTACTATGCGGCTTTGCTCGTCTGAATTACGTTTAAAAATATTCATTGTATTATCCTAGGATGCAATAAATTTGTGTATATTCTATGGGTTTTTTTTTAATGGATGATAATGAAATGGTATCCCCACCCGCGCTATCGGTATACACCGGCGGGGCACCAGTGAAGGATGATAGATGAGGATGAAGTAGGTCAGTTGGGCTAATCGTGACGAATTCAACAAGAATTGTTCACGATGGTTTTCAGGGGGAACCACGTGGAGGTCGACCTAATAAGGTATATTGCTAGCAATAGGGCTGTCAAACCCCATTGCTAACAATCCCTTTCCCCCCTATTCTATGGGTTACTGTAGTATGAATGACAGCTGATAATTAAATACCTTTTTTTATTAACAAAATAATTTATTAGTGAATATAATCGTAAAAAAATATCAATATTGATTATAAGGTTGACTTTGGTTCCAAAAATCACATTTAATACAACGTTTTTATTCACCAATAGGTGAATAGGAGTCTATACCTCATTATGCTATCATAATACGAATGGTAATTATAACAGGTTGACAATATGAAGTTATTAGTAGAGTATTTCATCCACATACAATTAGAATAAAAAAAAGGATGATGGTTTAGGAACGTATATTATATGATTACACTATTACAACAGTGTAACTTAGCTTTGCTCTTTTGAGGGCGAAGCAATAAACTGAGTTGTGACCATTTTGTATTGCTATGGCACACGCACAAACGAAAAATTGTATTTAGCTTTATGTATTTTTTTAATCATTTATGTTATCTCACTTTTTTGTATATCTATGTTGTAATTTGTGTGCTGTAAGTAAGTAATGCAAATAAATTATCTATCTATCTATGTATTATGAAATAGTACATTTCTAGAATTTCGTTACAGTCGAGATAAAAAGCAAACAACGATACATCCGTGCAAAAGAAGAAACCCTCAAAATCCTATACGCAGCCATCTGGCTGTAATTTTTTTATGGAAATAAATGGGGTCATTACATGATGATAAAAATGGTGAAGTAATAAATATGCAAACGTCTACGTAAACTATCTTTTTTCTTTTTATTCTTTAAAATGTTCGGGCCTTCTAATAAAAAGTCCCGGCCATTTTGAAGAATTGTCTACATTTTATGGGAAGATTCAATATTGAACAACGATACAGAATAGAAATAAATTTTGCAATATTCGCGAAACGATGATTCCATTATAATAATATGTGTATAGGAGCGTTGGAAATAAAGTGAATAGTAAACTCACCGTATATGTTATTTATGATGTGAAATGTGGTATAATATGATGGAAGACGTATGGTTTGATTTATTAACTTTCTAGTTTTTAACATACCTGAGAACAAATAACTTTCATTTCGTAAATGGAAAAAGAGTTATGTACCTATTTAGGAACATATTAAATTTTTACTGCGACTAAGAAAAATAATGTTTTCATTTGTATTTTGAGTATTTTTTATTATTATTTCACTGTGTGTATTTAAGTCGTGGGGCGTTCCACATCAGCGAAGTTCTTTTGTCTCAGAGTTTTTAAAAATAAGGACCACAGGCAATGAGAAATGACAAAACCCCGACAAATTTGGGTTATACACACCCAGGTTTTAATTTGATAAGCGTTCGATTTTAAGTTATGCACATCCAGACATTATATAAGTACTCGATAAGTTAACTACAATAATTATTTGTAAACCATTTATTTAGTTTATCAATAGTAATTAAAAAAGAAACTAAAAAAAATTTCGTAAAAAAGACATCAACGAGAGATCCGTACAAAAACATAGTTATCACAAATCTTTAAACACGTAGTAACTCGTAGGTAGAATTAAAAAATAAATTACGTATTCTTTATTTTTTTTATGCAACTCAGAATGGCAAACAAGCTGACGGCCAATTTATTTACTTGATATTACAACTTGGTATCAATATATCAGATGCCGTGTGGTTCGGCATAGAATGGACCACCCTTTCCTTTCCCCTAGATGTCTTTAGAGGGGACTAAGGTAATTTAATGATTGAGGGATGGGAAGCAGCGTTACTCTTTAAACATCATCAACTGTAATCGCCAATTCGTCTGCCAAGCGTGGCAAACTACTGGCAAACACGTCTTTATATAGGAGGCCTATGTTTAGCAGTGGACAGTTAATGACTGTTATGATGATAATAATGGTGATCAATATACTAAAATAATGAACAAATTGTTAATTAGCTACGAACGTTCGAATTGTTAGGTTTATATAGAAAATGATGTAACCTTATAGTTCGATTATGTAAATGGGATATACGTATCTACAGCAATGGCGATTACATATAAAAGACGATATTTTAAAAAGAAAGAAATTTATTAATATTTCAATATAAATTATTTATAATTAAATATATATTAATAATATAGCAATTTTGTTTTAGTTTCTCTACTCTTTTACGATATTATCTGGATGCTCGAGATTCGCTGGGTGTGTATAATTCTAGAAAGGAGGGATTCATCAATAATGGCGCTGGAATTTTATGTCAAGCCACTGCCATCTAATCACAGGCCGTTGGGAATATCGGACCCTTCTCAGTTTAGATTGTTTGAACATTACGTTATTAAATTGTAATAACAGGATGATTTGAACAAAGTCTCGATAAATTTTGTATCGATTGATACTCATATCTAGATTAGAGAATTAAGACAGTACAAACAATATTTTAATAATAAATAACAGTGTAAAAAATCAAAGTGAATGTAAAAAGCATATAAAGAAATAAATTATACAGTGCTATTTAGTCCTAAACTAAGCAATGCTATTTTAATTATCTATGAGGAAGGCCTAGGGCCTAAGGCTGAAATAAATATGATGTCAATAAGCAGTGTTAAGGATACCTTTTTTTTTACGAAACTTAGAATGGCAATCAAGTTGACAGTCCACCTGATTAGACCTGAAAAGCAGTTACTGTCGGCTATAGACATGAACAGTACAAAGAACATCACAGAATACTCTGTGATACCCATGGCATCCCTTATGCGTTGTCGTTTTTAAGGACTATCGTGTTACACCTCCGTACTATGTAATATCACTGCCATATTCTTCAAACCATTCTACCCTTCAAACTGAAACATAGCCAAGCAAGTACAGCTTATTCCATGGAAGACGGGTAGGATGGAGGTACCCATGCAGACCGCTTTTGTACAAAGCCTCCTTACGGTATGTTACAACAGAAATTCTTAAATGAAGAATATTATTTTATGATTTAGATTCGCCATTATCGGCATATTGTTTTGATATATATTTTGAGTTTTTGACATGTGTCGAGATAATATTAAGTAATGAATTGGATGCTGTAAAAATTAATTTAACACGTGTTTGATTTTAGTTAATCATTTTTTTTTTTTAATACTTTTAAACATAAATATTTTTCAGCAATAGTTTAATAAGAAGTTTTAGTTCGCTATAAGAATAATTTTCAAATAATCATTCAGAAATCATGTTGTTTAATTGTTCTTAAAATTTCCAGAATAAAATGTTTATTGAAATCAAATAGGTTTTTATTAATGATAAATACATTGAGATATATTGGCATTTAATATTATTCAAAAACATTTTTTAATATGACTGATAATTCAGACGTCATTAGACTTTTGTATGAACGCTTTTAATATTATGTCTGGTAGCTCATACCTACAGATAAAGGCTACACGTGCACGTTACCTCGACACAAATGATTGCCAGCAATTTTCTTACTCTAAATATAGAATGATAATTTTCATTCAATAACAAATCGCATTTTGTTATCCATTCATGAATTATTCTTGTCTTACTTAAAAAAGTTCAGAAATACTTTAACATTTTTTTTATTTTTAGTAAATTAGAGATGTATATTATGGTTTCAAGTAGTATTAATAACGTGAATAATATGTTTTTAGTTGGAATTTATACGAATAAATATCAATATGTAGACGCAATTATAATAGTACGACAAAATGATATATAATTCATTGTTAAATTTTAATGCATTTTTTCATATACATATCAGTTTCCTTAAGAGACAAAGAGTATCAGACTAGGATTAAAATTTCCTTTGCTTATCATTTGCTTTATCCAACTTCACAATTGTTAATTCATCATCTATTATTATAAAAACATAGAAATATTTGTCTGTATTTTATTTCTTAAGAGTCATCTTTTCTAAGTACTCTTAAGAAAAATGACAAGAGAATTTTTTTCATACATTGTCACCTTTGTGACATTTATTTATTTTTCTATGTGGCGTTTAAATAATGAAGTCATGTCGAAAAGTGTCATGCCCCTAAGGATAAGGCCCAACTATTATTTTAAGCGAACTGTTACAGAAAGGAGGATAATGTTTTATGTATATGAATGTACGGATACTTGTAAATCTCTATTTTAGCAGTAGTGGATTGATTGATAAATATATGACAAAAATAATAGGTGTTATAGCACTAAAAAGCGTTAGAGTAGTTCAGATTCTGTTTGTATCAATAATAAAGTTATTTATTTCAACAAAATCCTTAGAAAAGCCTTTGCCCATCAATTACAGTCCATTTCTTTGGTATTATAACAAAAATGTAATGACTTATATGTACTGCAATAACATCGTATATCGAAAATATCGAAATGTCTAATACTGAGGTCTTTTTTGAGAAAATGAACTAAAAAAAAATTGTCTGTTATTATGAGAAAATGAACTAAAAACTAAAAACATATTTTATCAGAATCGTTCGAACTGTTCGTGAGATACAGTTTAATTTCCGCATTATATGCGTAAAAGTCCTTAGTTGGTGAAGTAAAATATTTGTTAATGTTAATCAATCATGTATTTTTAAGAATTATAACTACCATCCGGTAGTTCTATGTTCGACTATACACTATTTTTGATGTACGTATATCAATTTCTCCGTCAATTGTGGACTGACTTTTTAAATTCTTTTTTATAATCTTATATTGTATAATTCAAATAAAGTATAAAAAAAAGATAATTGTAATTATATGTAAACGTGAATTTAACAAGAATAATTTTATGATATGCGGAACAAAAACTAACAACGAACTTATATACTTGAACTTCATTTAAACAAAGTTCCTACTTGCTACACGCAGTGGGTGTTACGATCGTACATACTTGTATGCGTTTTGTACATTTTAATTAGAAATTATATAAACAAGCAAGGTAGTTAAGGAAATATGTTTTCACATTTGCATTGCACGCTTTACATAACTTAGGATGCAGACTTCATTTGAGTGTAGTTTATACTATAAATGAAACCGTCGTGTAATGAATAAATTAATGAAGAACGTATATCGTAGGGTTTCTATTACGTAACATACTTTCTTAAGAAGAAAAAGGGGATACAATTGTACAATAGACCTCTTAAATAAATAAAAGATCCCGCGGAAATTTTCAAAGCAAACGAAAATTTGTCGAAGAGAAGAATAACACATCTCCGGTGAATGATTTCTTTACAATGAACAATGCACAGTTTTTATCTAAAGAATGAATCTCTTTTCACGAAATACGTGCTTTAAAAAAAAATAAACACAAAATATGTGTTCTTCTAATTAAAATCCTTACTAATATTATAAATGTGCAAGTAAGTTTGTTTGTTTTATTGTTACCTTATACCACTTTAACGGCTTAACTTCTACGTACTACATATGATAGAGACGGATATAGGCTACTTTTTATCCCAATCAGTAAATTTATCTCGATCACACAGAGGAAGTCGTAGGTAAAAATTAGTATACAAACCGGTTAGGTATAATATATAAAATTAAAAATGTACAATATAAGTGTTTATATAATTATTATAAATTAAAAATTTCACTTAAATACAACAATCAATATTATTAATACAATTAACGAAGGCTTATATATATACATATATATGTATATATATATATATATATATATATATATATATATATATATATATATATATATATATATATATATATATATATAATTTTGTTCGTTAGTAATAATATATTTAGGAACGGTTAAACCGAATTCTCTATTTTTTAAAATAGATTTAGGATTTAATGATGAAACGGGCGGGATTTGAACATGCACGTATAAGGTGTAGGTTCAAATTTGCTTCGAAATTTTTAGATCACTCAGTAATAATAAGAAGATGATTTTCATATATTTAAAATCATATTGGAGACTTATTGAATAAAATAATGTGATTACTAGTTCGATTAAGGTTATTACTTTTGAAATGAAATATTACAGGATCACGTTTGTTCAGTCAGCTAACTAGCTGATTATAACTATTATAACTATAAATATACATGATTCTAGATTGTTAATCATATTTATGTATAACTACAGTCTTTAATAAAGAAATCAATATTATCAAGTCCAGTAGTCAGTCAAGAAGATGTTTTTGAACGTGAAGGACATTATCATTCTAAATAAATGAAAATTTCTTGCGATCTTATTGAACTGATTTTATATACTTTTTATATTTATATTATAGTTTTAAGCTCTTAAGATAATGAGGGTTAGATATATTATCCAATAAGATATTTTTTAAGTTAACATGTAGGCTGCTGTTTTTAAATTTTCATTTTTTTTTTATTTATTATAGTTTATAGTTATTATTTAGTATTGTAGTTGGTTAGTTGCTAGATACAAACAATTATCTTAGTTGATGTAATAACTACTATGCGTTTTAATTGTCTATTTTGTAATCCTGCAATGAGAAGGAGGGCATTGATATTCGCGACACAGTTTTATACTTCTGCGGATATCATCATTTTTCAATAATATTGTAACCAATGTTTTTGTTCCAAAAAAATTATTATTATTATTATTATTAATTAGTATTTAAATTTAGTTAACGATTATTTAATTCAGGAAATTTATACAATGCACTTCAGATATACAATTATTTATCAATGTCAAAACTTTCTTATTAAAGCCGAGTTAAAGCATTAAATTAATTAGAGATCTAATATTATCCAAGACTAACTATTAAACAAAAATAAATATTTTACATATAAATTAAAATGTTGAAAAATGAAAATAAGAAATTACTGCTGTCGTGATTACAAATAGACAAAACCAAAGAGACGTAAAGAAAACGCCACCAACCTGTTAGCGAAGGAGTGAGAGATAGGAGCTACCGGTGTGTCGGTTGTGGTGCGATGTGCCGGAGATGTCCTGGCGGCGGCTTATATACTCGCCGATTGGGCGGGCGGCCGCCCCCTTGTTATCGTCCTGCAGTACTCACTTGCAAACCACTTGCACTCGACTTTGAAACACGTTTGCTATTGCTGATATTGATATTTATTTAATTTTTCCATGACTTTTCTATTTGTTCTGTGTTCCTTATAAGTACAATTTACTCTGAAAAAATGGTGACTTCAATAATATAAAACACACATACGTCATATTTCGTAAAAAAAGAGTAAAAATATAGGAATTTAGAATATAAAAACGTTATTCTATGACAGTTTGTTTTCAATAGGCAGTTTTTTACTCTGTAAAGAAAAACAGCAGCATGAATCGTTACAAAAATTACATGAGAGGTTATTGATTATATACAAATCTTATAAAAAATAATTTTAAATATTATTTTAATCAAAACTGCGTGATATAGTCACAAAAAGTACAAATTAATAAAACATAATATTAAATATGCTTTAAAACATAATATTTAATATTATATATTAAGAAAACGCGTTTATAATGTTTTTGCTGTTAAAATGACAAGAGTTTCACTAACATGTTTAGTTTATTTGGAATTTCAGTTGTGAGAATATTTTTGTTTCTCGAACAATAGTCAACAAAGTCTTTACGTGTAGTAATTACACGAACACAAATTTTCCAGTTATACAAACAGTTAAATACAATTAAATCTGTAATTTAATTTATAACGATATTTCATTATTTTTTTACTATTTTCATTATCCCATTACTAGTGATATCCTGTGGTTGCACACGCATAAATTAGGATAATAGGTAGTGTGTAATCTAGGATACTGTATATTTACATATTAAATTTCTTCGAAATTTGTTTAGCCGTTTTTGAAGTGTGATTGAATCACAAACATCTTTACAAACTTTCATATTTACTAATATGTAGTAAGATTCAATCGATCGATATCGATATATTAAATATCAGTTTGAACATATTGCACTGATAGTACTATAAAAATGATAAATTATTTTTATTTCATCCTTTCGTGGTTCTTTTTCTAATAATGTGAATTCATATGCTTATCTACGTACTTTTCAACCGACTACAAAAAGAAGGAGGTTCTAAGTTCGGTTGTATTTTCTTATATTTGTTACTCTGTCAGTTGTAAACTGATTTGGGATATTCTTTTTTATCTGAAAGTAAATATTTACAATTTGATTCCATAAAAGTTTTATCAAAATCGGTCCAGTAATTTAATGTTTAAATTAAAATATCTGGTTTTGCCACAATTGCATTCTTTAATGAATTTCATATTTGTATTTTTAAAAATTATTAGTAACCTAATGACCCATTTGAACTTAAAAGGAATTGAAAATTGTTAAAAATTGTAGATATATACATATTTGAATTTAAATTTTTTAGTATTTAGAGCTTTCATCATCATATCAGCCGTTAATTGTCCACTGCTGAACAACCGTCCCCTTTGGGGAGTTTGCCAGTAGTTTGCTTGGCAGGCGAGATAGTAATCGCAGTTAGGCTTTGGTGATGTGTTAAGAGGGACGCTGCTGCCCCATCCTTCGACTATTAAGTTCCCTTAAACGCCTCTTGCGACACCCACGGGAAAGGAACGGGTAGCCCTTTCTATGCCGGGACCACACGGCATTTAGAGCTTTAGTTATTATTGTATATATCCCTTTTTACGAAAAGTACACGGATGGAGGAGTATGCGTATAAATTTCGCACACTTATAGTGGAAATTATATAGAGAACGACCTCTCTACAGATTTAGAATACTAATACTTTTTTTTTTTAAATTATGCATAGTTTAATAAGAATACTTTAAATCAAAAAATATATAAAAAAACATTTCATACACACTTACCATGTATTTCACACACACACGCATATATACTGTTTTGTTTATTATTAAATTCTGAGGTCAAATTGAGAAAAGATTAATATTGTTTGTCTTTAATATTATTTGTCTATAGTTTTACTGAATATTAAATTTAATATGATATGGTTAAATTTCGACCACTGGGCGACCACTAGTTCATATAAAACTCTAATAATTTTTCTCTGTACGACTTAAGAGTTAAACGTTTAAAGTGAAGTTATCTACTCAGGTATGTGTAAAATGTGTAACTTAATTTTAGCGGTTTTCCGCGTAATTTTATTATATACAGGTGCCGCATAAGTAACCTTAACTAATTACATTTACTTGAACGAAATTTCAGTTCAAGATGCAAAAATAACCAAATTAAAAAATTATTTAGAGGGAAACTTTGTACAAAAGTCGATTGCTTGGGTATCTCTGTCCCATTCGTGTTTCTATCGTGAAGCAGTTGTGTTTGCATGGCTGTGTTTCGGTTTGAAGGGTGGGATATGGCGTGAATTTACAGGGTACAGAGAAATAATATCTGAGTCCTCAGGAATGACAACGCATGGGGAATATTATGGGCGAAACAGTATACTCTGTTATGTCCATGGTACTGCTCATGTCTATTGGCGACGGTTACCACTTTCCATCAGGTGGGCCGTCAGCTTGTTTGCCATTCTAAGTTGTATAAAAAAAAATAGGTGATTTTGCTTAACTATTTGAGGCGAGTCTATGCGCCATATTTTACCTATTTTACTCTAACTTACTATATTTTTATATTCTCGTTTATATTAGTAGTCTTTAATTTTTTGTTTTATATTTTATGTTATAGAATTTGAATTTACATATGCAATGCGCATACCTAAATATAATGCAATGTTTACTGACGTTCCACTAGATGGAGCGACGACCTCATATGTATGTCCTGGAGTTCGTGGATGCATGCGATTGAGGACTGTATCTGTAGACAGTTTCTAGGAGAGACGAATAACCAATCTTCTATTGTTAACCTTGGACTCTATACCTATATATATATATATAAATGAATACGTTGTCAGTAAAATGAAAACTGAAATGATGGTGTCGATTTAGAACAGAAGTTCTCAGACTTTTATTTCTCATACACCACTTTCAAAATTTAGCTAGTTCCAGTGGATCGTCTACAGCTATACTTCTACCATATTCCCAAAACTCAATAAAATATGTGAACTGACTAATATGACTATGGAATTGGAACTAATTTATTTCATTAATAGTTTAAAAAAAACTATCAATTGATTGGTTAATTAATTAATTGATTGTGCTGTAAGTGGATGTCAAAAAAGTAAAGTTAGAAGGAATTCCTTTTTTGATTGGCCAACTTTACAACTTAACTTACAGCACAAGGAACCAATCAAATCTTACTTATTGTATTTAGAAAACTCCCCATTTGGAGTGATAAAAATAAAAATGATATATATATATATATATATATATATATATATATATATATATATATATATATATATATAATATATATATAATATATATATATATATATATATATATATATATATATATATATATATATATGTAATTATTACACTATTAATTAATATTGTTATCATATTACATTGCATTATTATTGTATTCTTGCATACAAATTGTGAACCCCCTTTTTTGTCACTCTAACGTAGACCCCTGTCCCCTTTCAAGTGGACCCCCAGGGGTCCACCTGAACCGCTTTGGGAACTAAGGATTTAGAATAACAAATAAACTTGCTGCTCATCTAATGAAAACTGGTAACCGTCATCCATAAACATGATCAGCACCATGGACAACACAATGTGATAAACTCCACTAAATCTTTTTTTATGTATTACTATTTTTTTTAATATGATGGGTATACTAAAGATACATATAAGTAATTGACGTATCTGTCAATAACTAGCAAAAAAGGTTCATCATCATTATTTCTGCTATTATCTGTCCACTGCTAGGTGCTTATCTATCCATAGGCTTCCCCCATAAACCGCCATAAGAAACGGTTCTGAGCCATTTACATCCACTTACTCCCTGCAATGCATTTGAGGTTGTCACTTCATCTTATGGAGGTTAGTTCTACACTGCATTTGCCCTTACGAAGTCGCTACTCAAGAACCTTTATTCCGCATCGGGCATCAACAAAAGGGGTTGCAATCTATAAAACATATTATAGCATAGCCAAATAGAGGGCAGGAAATATGCCTGTTACTAAGATACACCAAACAGGACATTAAATAATTTGATAAAAATTATTATTAAATAGTTATGAGACATAACAGGCTAATCTCTAACAATATAGCCCGTCAGGTTGACCTCTACGCAGTCCCTCTGGCAACCAATGTAGTTTATTTCCGATGATTCGTAACGATTCGTATCTGACTTCATTCTTATCTACGAGTATCCTCACTTATAGGTGCCTCGTCAACGTATACCAGTAGCGCAAGTGCGATTACTATTTCATTTACATTTAATAAAAAAAAAAAAAAATTGCTTACAAACTAAAAGTTAAAAATCTCTTTGTAAAACGATTTAGAACGTTGCTCTCTCGATGAAATGACCGCGCCGTCTTTTTGAATGAGGTTTAAGTTATGGCTAATGTTTATGACATCATAATATTCATAATATTGTACGCGCAAAAGTTTATGTGATGGTTTATTAATAGAAATTTCCGGTAATTCAAACATCACAAGAACTTCTTTGAACTTTTTTATTTCCTATGTACTAGTAAATACTTTTATATTTTAATTATATGCGACATGAGATTATGAATTAATCTAAAGAAATTATACTGCACTTTATAAAATATGTAAGATTTGTAAATGGAAATTGAATGGTTTTTACATAGATATCCAATATATTTGGGTAAAAGTAATAAGTAAATATCAGACTATAAAAGGGATTAAATTGCGACATGTGTGTAAATTATGTTATAAAAAACTCAAACTTGATCCTCATCTCTAGATAAGAATATTATATTACAAACAGATAGATACATAATATTTTCATGTCTTGTGTGATAATGTTCAATTATATACTTTCACGTTTGTAACTATATAAGAATCCTCATTCAAATTATATTATAAATGTGGAAGAGAGTTTGTTTATTTGTTACATTTTGGTATATTAACGGCTTAACCTTAATTATGAAATATGGCATAAAGATCATATTTGTGATGGAAAAGGCTATTTTTAAT